TTTTTTTTTTTTCCCTACAATTTGGCTGGTGCTGACCATTCTCTGTGCTCAAAAGAACCATGATATGACATCTTCAGAGATTTTAAATCATTAAAATCTCAGAGAGCTTTCAGATGTAACCACATCACTGGATCATAGGGTTATATTTAATTACAATGATGAGCATACTCAAATATTTTTGTTACCATCTTCTAGGCAAAAACTGAGCTATGTGTATAGGCAAAAAAGTAGAAGTGCTGCTGGTTTTACTTATTTCCACCAGAGGAAACCAAGGACTACGTTTAAAATATATGCCTGCAGGTAAAAACAGCTGTAAAATCACTTTCCACTTATTATCAATGTGTCAATCCCAGATTGTGGATTTATTGTTAAGAGTGAACAACACCATTTTAATCTCCTTACTCCCATTTCCTTCAAGAGATCACCTGAACAGTACAGACTTTCCAGGAAACATTAGTACAGTGGAACTAGTGATATCCAACAGAAAACGAACTAAAGAGAATCTCACAGAATCCTAGAATGGTTTGGGTTGAAGGGGACCTTAGAGATCATTCAGTTTCCATCACATATCATCTAGTTCTTACCCTAATTCAGAAAAGCCCTTTTATTTTCCATGTAAAAACACTACTCTCACTGTTCTGCCCAGGCAGAACCAACATGAAAATGTGGGAAGCAGGATATAACAACAGCTCTTATACCTTCCCTCAATTTTTGCAAGGATCCTTTTGCCATGATTTAGTGGATTGCTGCCAGGCAAGCAGCACTCAGCAAGCACATAAGCCAAATTCCCCACCCCAGGGACATGGGGCCATCATAACCAAGGAGAAAATCCCTCTGTTCCCCGTCTGTTTTACATTCCTCACTGTAAATGTGAGGAATGTAAATACTTCCTCACTTGCAATGGCCAGAATTCCACTAAAACTTTCCATCTGTTTTAAATCTATATTTTATTATTTTAAAATCTATATTTAAAGAGATAAGCAACTGCATTTCTCCAGAGGGAGGATTATTTATGTGAAATATCCATGTGAAACCAGATGAAAGTATTTCTGCATAGGACTGAGATCTACCACTAAAATAGGTGTGGAACATACCTAATGCTTAAACTGCCAAGGCAGCACCACTTACACCACAATTTTGGGAAAAGGTATCCAACAGGCACATTCTGTGGGCTAAAAAAATTAAAAATATAACCAAGCTCTCCACAGCATGCTGAGTTGCAGGGGCAGACTGCTTCAGCTGTGCCAAGGAGCCTCTCTGAGGTGCTCAGGATTAAATCTTATGCTGCTCTATCCAACAGCACAGATGACAACAGCAACAGAGAATGGTCTGGAAAGAATTTCTGAGAAGAATCTGTGTTTTTTATTAGGTGTTTGTAAGTAAATTGGCTTTTGAAGAGTTGCTTCTGTCAGCTTCTATACTCATGGGACATGGATGTTGCCACCTGATTCCAAGTAGGGACAGTAGGGTGAATGAATTAAGCCTTTAATTAAGTTTTATTAGAGATTACACCATCCTGTTTTCCTCTTTGTCTTCCTCTAGAAAAACAGAACAAAAACCATAAGGCAAATCAATTGGGTCTGTAATTAATGTGGTGGCAACCAGCCTTTGGAAAAGGTTATTTGTCATCACATCCTTTCCTGTGAGCTTCTGGAGCCATGGGACATCAAAGAAAGGCACCAGGAAAACTTCTGCCATGCAGGGATTGGAACCAGTTAAAGAGTCTGGAGAAAACCCCCCATGTGAAAGTCAATAACTCTGAGAAGAAAGATACAGAACAGGCAGAATGGAGACCTCCAATTCATGTGCCGATTTGATTACTGATACTTGCATTCAGTTGTTATTGACTTCTGCTGCTGCCCTGTTCTGCTGGGGTTGGGAGATGATGCAATGAATGCAGTAGGAAAAGTTGCCACTGTTGTGCCCTAAAGTTCCCAAATTCACGGGAGCAATGGATCATTTTTTCCTTTTTCCACCACACCAAGTTTATCATTTTTACATAGCACCACACTATGTCTCATATAATTTATGTCTCCAGAGTATAAAACTAAGTTATCACTGTATTAACGGTCCCTTTCCATTTAAAAGGGTGATAACATTTTACATTTGAAATTAAACAACTAATTAATTCCACATATTTTCCTGACTGAACAATTCACTGTCCCATCTTGAAAGGATTAATCAGCTCCCTCACTTCAGTTAAAAAGCAGACAAAAAATTGGTAATTCCTAAATGTTTGCCTTAGCTTTAATTTAAAAAAAAATAAAGGTTTTTTTTTAAATTCAAACATCCATGCTATGCCTTAGCAATAGTTTCTGTTATTAAACTGGAATTCAACCTTGATCAATTAGCTCATTTATGCCCTACAAATAATTTAATTTGAATTAACTGCTGACAAATCCAGGGAAAACAGAAAACTCCAGAGATGTGGCAGAGCAGTTTTGCATTATCTCCTTGCAGTTTCAGAGGTGTATCTGCTCTTTAGGACAAGGAGTGGGGATTTAAACTGAAAGAGGATAGACATTAAGAAGAAATTCTTCCCTGTTGAGGGCATGTCATCAGCATTTAAAGCAGATAATACATCAGACCAGGTAGTTTCAAATACTATATTTATTTGTTTGATGTTTAGTGACTATTTGTATGGGCAAGTAAGTCTCAGTGCCTTTCTCCACATTAGTAAGCATCCTCCCTATTTCCCCAAAGTTAATGTATGAATAACTGATCTCTTATGCAAAGCCGAAATAGGATTTAATGAACCTCCATTACTCAAGCTGTACATTTTCCTCAAGATGAAAAATGCCATGTACAATGTATTTTCCTGTATGTGAATAAGCCCATTAATATAGATTTCTGAACAGAGTGTTTCTACTCAGCAATTTTTGCCCTTTGGGAGGGAGAAGGAAAGAGAGAAGGGAGCAGACACTTCCCCTCACTCCCCCACACCATCTCTGGAAAGGAACTAGATCAGCTTTGTTAGTACTTTGGATTCAGAGCTGTTCTTAGCACAGAGGCACAATTGCCTTCTGACAAATGTTTATGAAACCTTTGCTGCCAGCGTTAAATCTGTTCTAGTGTATTCTTCCCCGCTCTGATACAAAATAATAACAGAGAAAGTAATCAAAGCAATACAGATCTGGCAATATCAAAAATTGCTCTCACTTTCACACCTTGTTTGCCTCTTTGAATAATTCCCCTCCCTGAAGAAGCCCTTGTGAGGAATTAAATCTGGATGTACCACCAAGAGACATTAATCTCCAGACAGGTTCTGAAATGCAAGTTCTCTTTGCTTTAGCAGCAATGCACGAGCGCCAGTGAAATCACTGTTCAGAGGTACAAAAAGTTGATTTGCAGCCTCAGTCAGGTACCTGAAACACAACTTGGTGTATTATTGCTTTTTTTCATTTACCTGGTGTTACTTTACAAAAATTCTAGATTTACCATTCTTTGCTGAAAAAATGTCTTAAGCAAGTTCACCTTTCCACTTTATTTCTTAGAATTTCACATTAATTCTGCCTTCTCCTACCTTTTCCTCTCAATTTCCACCCTTCCAAATGAATCTACTGGGTGTTGGATTCTCTGTGGAAACTCAAGGAGAGTTTTCTTCCAAACCTTGTCAGGAGAACTCTGTTGCTGTCCCTCTCTCTACTTAGACAATTAATAGATATCAACTGCAGACACACTTAATAACTAATTCATATAAGACTGTACAAAATTAATTTTTTCCTGATTATCTCTCCTGCTCAGTCCTGAATCAGGTAAGATACATTTTTGGAGAGCTTTACTGTTGCACTGGACAAACCCAATACCTTTAGAAAAAAACCTCAAAACAATAGAGAAATAAACCAATAACCCCCCCCCCCCCCCCCCCCCCCCCCCCCCAAAAAAAAAAAAAAAAAAAAAAAGGTGGAAAGGAAGGTTTTGATGGAATTGACATTTTCTAATGAAAAAAAAATTTTGTTAGAAAGTAGCAGGAGGTTTCCAAGTGGAATTATTTGATATCTCTGAGGCAACATGCAGCAGACATGGCTTCTCTCTTTTGCAGAAGCAACCCTATCCATTCACACTGAAACATAGAGACAAGGATATGGATTTTGTAGACTAATGATCACTCAAAGAACCTTGCAAAAAGTCAACTCTTCTCACTGCAAATGTCCCCAGTAACCACCGAGTCTGCTCTGCAGAGCTTGTCTCAGAGTCCGGGCTCACAGCTGCTCTTGACAACTTTACCATCAGACTCCCCCCATCAATCACATAATTTCCAACTGGGAACTCACTCCCCAAATTCTTCAACTCACATAAAAGCTATGTCTGAACCTCAGAACAAATTCTAAGATCACAGAACAAAACCAACACCTTTTTATTTTTTTAGTATTGTGCTACATGAAACACTGCCATTGCTTTACACATTTCAGAGTTTTTGTCCTACAATAAATGCAGTTTCCTTGCAAACAAACAAAAAAACAAACCCAAGTTGTAATTGGACACTCAGGAGAAAAGCATAATAATTCCAATATGCTACCAAAATTTCCTCAAGAAGGCACCAAAAGCCAACTGAGGTTCTGTGTTTTGAAGGTCATCCTTCCTGCTTTCTACCAGCAGTCACCTGTATGTTCAAGGTATATCCATGGGGGAGAAGAACCTGCTTAAAAATAATGAATTCTTCACAAATAAATAATCCAACTTCTCATTTGCAGCAGCTTCAGTTCTACTCAGGTTCTAAAGTTACTGTTCAGCACAACAAATCTCTTTCACCACTCACAAAACAAAACAGTGAAACTCATGACTTGACTGCTCCTGAATTTTGTACACCTATCCCATATGAACAAAGAAAGCTGCAATAAAAGCCGATTTAGAAGTAAATTGGTACCCTCAGAAGTTCTTTCTAGTGATCTGTTTCCCTCTTCCCCTCCGAAGCCTAAACCAAAAGTAACAATAAAATAAAACCTGGGAAGGTTTTGTAAACAGATTGCCAAAAGGAACCCAAAAGGAAAAATTCTTACCTTGAAGCATCAAAGCTGTCATAGGATCCAACAGTGTAGTGTCTAAACAGCTTCTTTGTTCTATCTGTTCGTGTTTCTGCACAGAGAAAAAAGAATTTTCACTACTTCTGTATTTCTTAATCAAGTGCTGAAGTATTTGTTTATATTCCCTCACAGTAAATGAATGTAGTTTCAAGGCATTTTGAAAGAAAATCTTGGCTTTGGAGATATTACTTTATGGCATCAGACACCTGAAGTGAATAAGGAGAACTTCTTGCAGATCATTAATCACATCATTCACAGGTTTTAAAGCTCCTCTCATATTCTCAGTGGCAAAAACTTTTGTGTCCAATATTTGGGTCTTTTATAGCTAAGAGGCAAAATAGAAGAAGAAAGAAGAGAAATCTGCAATAGATGTCAGAAAGGTTGGGAAAATAGCCAGAATATTCAAATCAATATTTTCTGCCTAACTATGGTTTGGTCCTCCAATGAAATCACCTTTGGTTTGGCTGAGAGACATCAAAAATCAGATGGCAAAGTTTCTGGGTTAGATTATGACCATCGAAGTCCCATCTGCACAGCGGAGGGACTCTCCATGGAAGAACAGTCTGACACAATCCCAACAGGTTTTATTGAGTCTCCAAGCCAGCCAGAGCCCTCAGGGCACAGCACCTCTGTGGCACAGCTTTTAAGGATGGTACAAATGACTGAGAGATTGGTGATGTCAAATGACCAAGGGCAAGCCTGCAGAGAGAAAAAGAACATCAGAGCAGGATGGAAGGGCTTTGAGCACTGCCAAGGAGCAGGAGAAAGTCCTGGGAGGCAGACTTTGGAAAGAAGGGTGGGGAAAATGCCTATTTCCTTGCTTTAACCTATTTTCCTTGCTTTAACTGGATCATGCCCCCAGCTGGAGGCATAAATACAAATATGTCCATAATACAGAGCAATTTCAGCTGGAAATGTACATGAAGGTTGCAGCTGGCTAAAAGAATAAGAAAGATGTTTCTTCAGAGCTGTGCACCAATTGCCAAGGCCCAAGAAAAGCAGTTCTAGGAAAAACCAGAAATATTTACATTTGTTTATATTTTGTGGACACCAGCCAGCCTCCACCCTACAGGATGGCCAGAGAGGGAGAAAATTCCTATTATAACATGAACCCTACTTGATAGTTTAGTTTATTTTGCCCCTTTGCCATTCACCTACAACCTGTGTTTTTTGCCTAAAAGGCCTTTCTTTCCTTTACCCAAAATTCCTGCTCCTACTGCACAAATTGCAGTCTGCTTCCCATCGAGGAACATTCATTTTTTCATGCCACTCTAAAAATAAGGTTCATACCAAGAGACATAAACAGAAGAGACACAGAAAATCATAAACCTGGAGTCCACTTTGCATTTTCCCCTGGCCTGTTCTCAGAATTCCCTCAGAAATTATTACAAGAAATAAATTATGATGAAGAACATTTTGAAATCTTAAAGCAACTGCTCGAGCCTTAGGAAGCCAGATGTTCCCCCTGCAGAATCTGTTCTCTATAGCATGATATTTCAGTGCTATAAGGAATACAAAGTGGGTGGGAGGGATGAGAAGGCACAGCAAGACAGAGAGCTTTGTTCAGCTCATTCGGATTGCAGAGCCAGCACTCTTCAGCTGCGGCTTGGATCTGCTCCCCAGCTCTGCCACCCCTGTGTTTCCCCCCACTTCTCTGTGTGCAGTCAGGGATGGTTTGGGAAAACAGAAGCTTTGCAAGGTGCTGAACTCGAGGCTAAGTGGCAGTTTCCCAGGCTGCTGTGTTAAGTAACCTAATTACCCTCTTTCCCTCACCTCTGACAGATTCCAGGCTGCCCAATTACACAGCACAAGTACAGACAGCCAGGAGCAGGAGGGGAGGACAAGGAATCTGCCGTCAGAATAAACTGGGGACTCAACAAGGAAAAGGATTCCATTCCCTGACATGACAAAAGAACACAAAGAACCCATAGGCAAATGCCTAAATGCTGTTCTGAATTCAAGCCAAAAATCACTGTTATAGGTATACTTGCACCAAGGAGTTAGCTCCAGGTTTCCCTGGATTTGTACCTATTCTTATGTCCCAGGTTTTCTTAAGACCAGAACTCTATCAAAATGCTTTGCTTCAAGTTAGGACCACCTAACACTAACAACCCCATCATTATTTAAGAAGCTTTGACTCACAGAATATTTTGAGGATTTCTTCTTAAACTTGATTTCACACAGATTAGAAAGACCAACAAGAAGATATGGACATGAAGATCTAGAAACACATTATTTAGCAGTTTTATTTTAATAAAGACAATTATTTTAAAAACACTGCATTCTTACTGAGAGGAATATCTGTCACCACAGATGAAAAGTGACTACATCAAGTTGGATGAGCTCAAAAAGTTTTTCTAAGAGGCAGAACAAAATTCCAGGGTTTACAAAAATGGTTCAGTTTCCTTTACATTGAAAATAGAGAGAAACTTTGGAAAATCACTTGAAATTTCTAGATCTATTGAGAAACCCATATTTTACCAGAGTAGATACCATAAGTACACAATATTTTTTTTCCTGGTCCATTTTCCACTGAAGCCTGTGGAAATGCAGCAGAAATAAGCTGCGTGCCCTCAGCAATAGTGGCAATCGAAATAATAAAGCCCAAGCTGTTTCTTTATTAGAATAATTTATTGTTGCAGACATCTCAGTAAGCAACAGGCTCAAACCCTGCCCTCCCAGAATGCAATTTATAGAGTTCAAAGAGGGGTGAGCACTGAGAAAGTGTAGGTGGAAAAAATTTCCTCCTTTCTCTACCTCAGGAGCAGAGAGGGCTTTCCTCCAAATAAATGTAGGACTTCCTGTGAATTCTCTGTCTCAGTCTTGTAAGTGACCACAGGACTCCAACAGATCTTGCAGACATTATCAAAAGCTGCAAGATCACTGCCATGAAAAGCAAGAAATAAATTTTGGATTCTAATGCACTCATATTAGGCCACTCATGCCCCATTTCAGCCCATGTCACAACTGTGAGCCTGTTCCAGCAGCCAACTGGACTCCCACCCTGACACTCCTGCTTGAACTAGGTTGATTACATATTTGATATTGCTTTGGAAGTGTCGTGGTTTGACACGGGAAAAGAATTTTTTTTGGAAGGAAGAGGTCAATCCAGTCAGGGGTCAGGTTTGGATACTGACACTTGGGGTGACCAGTTGAAGGTGGACACGCCCCTGAGAACACAGAGGGGTTAAAAGCGGAATTCCCAGGAGGACTCGTCCTTCTTTGGTTCCGGTCATCGCAAGGTAGAGACCTCCCCCTCCAACCCGGGCTGGGTGGGGGAGGGGAGCCATGCGGCCTGCAGAGGTAGGCCAGGGGGTGAAGGATCGGAACCGAGCTGGGCCAGCTCCTGCGGATGGAAGGGTGGAGAACATCTGGGATGTCTTTGTTCCCCCTCCCCTAAGCTAGAGGGAAAAGAGATAGAGGGCCTGCAGACACCTGGAAGTTTGCCAGCAGAGGAGAAGGAGAAGGGCAGGAAAGATGCCCAGCGTGGGAGATGGGAGACAGAGTCCTGGGCCAGATTTCAGCCGTCCGGGGAGTCTGGGAATTTTAACCCTTTCCTGTGAAATGAAGGCTTTATGAAATATTACTCCTGCTCAATTTGAAGGAAAGAGAGACAGCCTGGGACCTCAGGTGTTCAGAGAAGAAGGTTGGGGGCAGATGATAGAGTGGCCTTTGGCTGGACTCTGCTTGTTTACCATAGACTGAACCACTCTTTCTTTCAAGAGGGACTGCATTTTAGGGGGATGCACTGGTGAGCCAGGAGACCTTCTTCAGCAACTACAAGTTCAGGAATGGATAGAGAGAGCTGAGGAGGGTGTGGGGATGCCCTCCATCTTCAGAGAAGAAGAGAAGGTGATCTCTGTCCTTGGACCCTCGGCCCCAGGGGAAAATGGGGGGGACTCTAGTCCTGAAATGCGACACTGGACTGTTGTTCCTGGTGGTCCTTGGAAAAGCATCCTTAAAGGGGCCCTATAAGCAGTCTCTGTCCCTGCACGGTTGTGAGAGCACTGTGACATGGAGAGGAAAGTGTCACACTGGCCGGTGTGTCTGGGCAGTGCCACGTGTGACATGGAAACACAAGAGGTGGCAGCTGTGTTTCCTGAGGGCCTATGGTGCAAGGGGGACTCCTCTCTTCCCCGACGAATTCAGTATTGTCTATCTTGAAGGGTGAAAACTTGATTAAGGATCCAAATGGGTCGCGCTGTGGTTTGGTGGAGTTGGGTGGTGGGAGAAGGAATGTTTCGGAAGGTTTTCATTTCAAATTTTGTGTGTTTTTTTTCCTTTTCTTTCTTTTCCTTTTATAGTAGTAGTAGTGTAATAAAGTTTTTCCTTTGTTATTAAGTTTGGCCTGCTTTGCTCTGTTCTCGATCGCATTTCACAGCATTCAATTGATAGGTTGCATTTTTATGGGGCACTGGCATTGTGCCAGCGTCAAACCATGACAGGAAGGTAAAGAACTAGGAGGGGTGTAGCAATGTATTTGCAAGGTTTAGGCCACTATGTGCCCCAGCCACAACATTTCTCGTTATTCTCATCAACACCCTCTGGAATTTGTCAAGGTTATTAAGACATAAATTGTGCTAAATTAAGAAAGAAGAAGCTGAGAAACAGAATACCAAGACCACAAGAACTAGATCACAGGGATAACTAGATAATAGAGGGCTGTGAAACACCTGGACTGTAACCAAAGATAGTCTGAGAAGTGCATGCAAAACATGTGAACAACATAGAGACACCAATCAAGAGATGCATGATCAGCATGTGCAGTAAAGTTAGAATGTCTAAATAAATACATAATATAAACAAACAACTTAATCATATTAGTTGGTTATCCAAGAGTCCCAATTTCCAACAGAGGGGGAAAAATCCCAAAGCAACAGTTTCCACTCCTTTTCTCCACCCTGCTGCTCCTTGACGGGCATTTTGGCACCGTGTTTCCAAGGAAACTGCACAGGATGCTGTGCCAGCAGAGATGCTGTTAGAGCTGCCAGCACTCTAGGAAAGGTTCCCAGTCACCAGCATGTCCACAGGATGAACAAAGGAAATAGGAGT